CACTTAAGGGAGACTTCAAACAAGTGTATTTCCAGAGAGGCTGGCTTCTAACAGCCCACTGCTGTCTGTGGCCTCCTCACCTCTCAAATTTGCTTTGATGGGTGGCAATGGGAGCTGAAAGTGAGCTCAGTGTCACATTTTCCCACATGAGCCCAGTAGCAGCAGCCTTACTGCTCTGGAATCTATGACCTGACTGGTAGAAGTGGGATTTTCAGAAGACCTTGTTGAGATATATCCCTCCCATGAAGCACAAGAAACGTATCATTAGAATGTATTCTGAAAGGTCAATGCCACTAGGTACTCTCTTCTCTCAATGAGTACAAATTGAACCTCATCCTTTCACAGACATCTGGATTTGTACTAAGACAACAATGGTGTGCTCTCTCCCTGCTTACACAGCTGATTTAAGAGAAGTCAAGTAAGGGGAAAACTCACCATGTGGCCTCTAGGTGACAATGGTAAGATGGTGAGTGGAGGATAGCCAGAGGCTCAAGGATTGCATGCCTGCCTTCTGACAAGAAAGCACACTCTGGTGAGAGATATAAGCAGGACGTGAGTTCTGAGCCCATCCCTTATTTAAGGCTTGGACTGATGAATCAGAAACTGGCCAGCAGCATGCCACATGACAATGACACTGAACATGGACTGTCTCCTTGTTCCAAGAGAACACACAGGAAATGCTCAGAAGTCTATTCCATACTCTACAGCTGTAGGTTTCATTTCTTTTATTACCCAGATACATAATGAGAAGTTTGAGAGCTTGCACATCTTGGCAAAACTAGTTTTAACAGTTCAATCTTTAATGAAAAAGTTTAAATGCAGAAGAATATGCTATAATAATGTATTACTTTTTAATCTGCCAACTTTGAGTTTGCTCACTAAGTAGGAAAATATGTAACTGAAAAGCTAATTTCCACAAAAGAAAAAGTATGGCTGTTAATAATAACATGTTCTTCAAACAGTGTAGTTGACTATGTTATTTAAAAAAAAAAGAGCAGTCTAATATTTTGTTGAAAATAAAAGGATACTTTCACTTTTCTCTTAATTTCATAAAGTAACACTGACATTTCAGGAAGACTGGGGGCTGCAGAATGGAAGAGGGAAGACAACGTGTTTCTAGAATGTGTAGGACAAACAACTCCTCGGTGTGAAGCTCCAGGAGTCGAGTCACAATCTCTGGCCAAGTTCTCTTCTTCATGGACATTCAAAGAATCTTGATATAGCTAAACAGACCTGTCAATCCTTCAAGAGTCTTTCAGAGAAAGTACTTCCTCCAAATTCTCTCTCATTTCTCAAGGGCCACGCACACAACAGTAAATGCATTAAAAAGAAGAATGCAAATCCTTCTACTTCAGGACCTTGAATCTTCCCATAGGCAAAATGGCAGCCTCTCCAGTTCCAAAATGCCTTAGCTTTGATTTGTAATATTAACTGCCAGTATTTTGAAGCTAGACGAACTACCAGGGAGAGCACTAGGGGGAAACTAGAAGAAAACATACATTTAACATAAATTCTCATTAAGAATCTATTGCCTTTTAGTCAGAACCAGTTCACAGCTGACTGTCCATTCCGTTTCCAAGGCTGCAGGTCCCAGAGAGGAGCCTGCCCATCTTCATCTGCTAGAGCGTCTACTTGGTGGCTTCCACCTGCCAGTGAGACAGGACCTTAGTGGGCTGCACAGCGCAATGGACCACGCCACCAGAGGTTCCTAACATTTAACATCAAGGGGGAAAAGATCATTTCAATAAAAAATCATTAGGATGTAAGGTCCTGGGCACCTTTTTTAAATTTGTTTCAATATTATTCTGTTTACCAACTCCTGGGCAGATTCTCTTGGGTTCTCCCTGCATAGGAGAGATGTGATTATGTATGGGTGATCACAAGTTCAAGCCTCAACCACCTATGGAAACTCAGGGTGGGATTACAGGGTGGTAAAATGGACACCACAAAGCACCTGAGTAAAGTCCATCCCACTATGACAGTTACATGCTCTACATGACTTTAAGAACAATATGTGCACAGCAGGAAACCAGCAGTCTCCCTGCAACCAGGCTCAACACAGAGCCAGCAGACTTGGGGCAGCCATCCCCTCAGCACACACAAAAGGCACCTGCTTGTTTTTGCTAAATCTTACCAATAATGTGGACAAAGCACTGCAAGAGATGGCAAATTTTTAATTGCACTTCTATTTGTCCCCTCTATTTTAGCCCTCTTTAGGAAAATTATTTTCCATTTAAACAAATTCACCAAGTGAACTTATTCAAAGATGGACATAACTGGTATAATATAACATTTTGCTTAACAAAATCACCACCGCTAATATTCCAATACTTTTAAAGAAACTACCACAGCAACTCAATCCCAGTACTAACATAACCTAAACTCCCTATGACGTTCATTACCAAATATGCAATTTAAACAATCATTCTGCTAAGTTATTCAGAATTTACATTTAGTTTTATTCATCCAGCTTATCTTTGATTTAGGGATGCTATTTTGTTTTCTAGATTCATAAAAAGGAAGTAAGAATTCAATAGTTCAATCATTTGACCAAGAGAAACATTGTGCATTAAAAGAATAATGGTTTAGTGTGCTAATTTGCTAAAAATATTGATTCAGTTACCATTATTATTGGCCCACCATCTGCAGCATTGACTATCAATGACAGGAAAGTTTCTCATGAATTGCCTCATTATCACCCATTTTAAGTCAAGATTTTACCCTAAAAGTTGGTGCAATGACCAGGACCAGCACAGGTGCTATGAACAGCTCTTCAAGTGCTAATACAGCATTTGCCCATACAGCAGTCTCTGGTTATATGAAGAATGTTTCTCTCTTCATCTCAGCATCTCTAGACTCATTAGCAGATGCCATTCAATTATTTCTATATCACTAGGGGCAAAGCAACTAGACCAACAAGAGGCACTGGCCAAGGCTATTGGGCAAAAGTTATATAGGGGAAAAAGTTGTAGACTTTCACTTGGAGAAATTAAGTACACTGTCTACCTCCTCTCACAGGGCCTATCTTGCTCAGGGCCAGCAATGCTGGGCACATCACCTGCACAGCAGTGCACACAGCTGCCAGGAGGCACATAAACTGTGTAGTGACTGTTTCTTTAGTGGATAAACACAGGTTCAATCAATACTCATAACTGGGAATCTCATGTTAGCAGAGACATGTGCGTGGATGCGTGGGTCCCTGGAAGTGACTAAATCCCTACACTCCAAATTCCAAGCAGGGCTTTAGGGCTGTTAAAGAGACTTTTAAACAATTTTCCCTGTTTAATTTAGCATTTAAGTAACTGCCCCAAGACATTCTACAAAAAGGAAGGATGTGAAGCACATTTTAAAAGAAAGGTAGAATAGACTTGATGGAATCAAAGCTTGGAAGTTTATGCTTAGAGATTTATGTCAAGATAAATACTCTCTTCTCTCATTTTTATCATTTTTACCATTTTTCCCAATGGTAAAAATTTTTATGTGACCACTCAAAAACATTATCAGGTTAATATTAGTATTTGTGGTGTGTTTTCTTAGTTCAAGAAAGTTCTAGAACAGAGTGCTAACATTTTAAATTTAAGGAAAAATATACCTTTTCTTTTCTTATTAGAATGTGCTTCAAATTTTATCCCCTTGGGAAAAATGTGCACACCTTTCCTCCTATGGAAAGTATGACAGTCAAGTATATATTTTAAAAAACCACCTCAGTAAATCAGACTTTTTAAACCCATGGTCTTTGCTTGCCATTATATCTCTAGCAGTTAACACAGTACCTGGACATAGCAACCACTTAATAAAATAATTCTGAAATGAGGAAAAAGAGTTTATTAAACATTGTGAGTTCAAAAGAATTTTCCACTAAGTGACCAAACATTGATGTATCAAAGAATGCTTATCAGCAAACACAAATACTAAGCCGTCTGTAAGACTGAGATAATTCAGTTGTTTTGAGAACATGAAAGGTATTGATTACAATACTTTTTTATGGAGGGTTGTTTAGATAATTTCAAGAGTAAATTGAAAATCAAAAGTTTGTTTCATTATGCTTTGTAAAAGCATCCTTCTGATCAAAGGGGGTATTTTTTTTTTATTTGTGTACTAGTACATGCACAATAAAGACTAGAAGTGAAAGATTTCATTGTGTGAAGAACATTAGGTAAGCACTGAGTGTGTCTCTGTGTGTGTGTGTGTGTGTGTGTGTGTGTGTGTGTGTGTGTGGTGGGGATTAGCGCATGCTTTCTAATGGAGTTTGCAAACAGGTTCAGATTAACCAAGTCTGACCATACTTCCATCTGGAAACTATATTTTTTAACATGAGCCATATTCTGAAAAACAAATTCAGATGTTTGGAACTGGTTCAGAACAGTTGTAAGAAATGTTCAGTACAAATGAAAAAATTAGTCTTCAATGTTGTCTTCTCCTCTTGGCTTTTCTTACTGAGTAAATATGCCTTCTGGGGGGTCAGAGTGCTGGTGGAGGTGAATGTAGGGGCAGTAGGAATGCAAGAGGGCCATTTCCCAGAACCCTGAGTGCACACTACTCATGAATGCATATCGAATGGGCAACTGCTATTTCATTTCTCCCATGTTGCTTGCTAGGATTTAAACTCTGACCCTGCAAGGTTTACTCCACCAAGTGGAGATAATTAATTCTCCTGTTTCAACTTGTGGGAAACAGGGCTAAAATGCTTAGTAAAGGATAGTGACCTTTCTTTTCTCTAATCCTTCCTTCTAGTGTTACATTATCACCAGAAACGAGGCCATTGGTCTATGCTTATAATTAACTTGGTTCTATCTGTCAAATGATACATTTTCACCAGAATATGCTTTGAAGTAGTAAATTATTTTAATACAGTTAAGAGCTCTCAACTCCTTCACGCAAATCAACAGGTCACAATAACCCAAGCCCTACTTTGCAGGAGACACAGAACTCCTACCTCAGTTGCGGGGACATGCCCACCCCCTCTGGAGTCAATGGCTCACCTTCCGCCCACAGCCTACCTTGACTTTTTGCTGGATTTGGGTTTTGGCGTGGTGGTTTTTGCTTTCTTTTCCTTTGGCTCTTTGGGAATCTTAGGGGCTTTTGGGGTCTTGGGTTCCTTAGGCTCTTTTTTCTCCTTGGGTTCTTTCGGATCTTTTTTTGTCTTCGGCTTCTTCTTTTTCTTTTTTTCTTCTTGGGATCCATCTAATGAGTTCCTATTTAGTTCTTGGTTATCAACCCCACCAGGGAAGTCAGCTTTACCAAAAGTTTTACTGGGATCCTCTGCAACAATGTGGTTATTTTTCTTTCTCTTCTTCTTTTGCTGTGGCGGCTGTTCTGCTGAGGGCAGGTAATCTTCATTCTTCCCTAGCTGAGCATTCGGTCCACTAACCTGAGTCATATCCGGCACTGGTTTCTCTAGAAAGGGCTCCGATGGAGAATGCTAAGAAACACAAATAGGAATTGAAATTAGTTTCTCATTCTATAGGGGGAAGAAGAAAGGAACTGAAAGTTAGTGGCTGATGTTTCTAAAACTTATCCTAGACTCTAGGTAGCAAATGCTTCACCAGCTAGACAGTAGTAGAATAGGTCATTTTTCTCTCATCCAAAAATAAATGTCTTTAATAGTAAAATTGCCAAAGAAAACTACAGTAGAAAAAAACCAGTCGTTTAATAATACACCAACTCCTCACTTACCCACTATCTCATTATCCAATATTTAGCATTTCAAACAACTATAGAAAACCTACTATGAGTCTAATTTGCATGTTAATGACATATATGTGGTAGGACCAAATGCAGAGACAGGAGGTAACAGTAAGGCTGGAGGGAGGGGGAGGGCTATGTGCCACTGTGGCTGGTCTCTAATTTTCAAGCTGGCAAGAAGGGGAGGGTTATGGGCCACTATGACTGGACCTCAATAGTTAGTGCTTTGGGCACTTATGTAATAATATAGTCATTCCCCATCATCTGACCTGATATTGTCATCTTCCATTTTCATAGAAGGCTGATTTTCCCCCTAACAATCTGGTATTTGGTCAGGAAGTTGAGGGGTGAGTACACAGTAAAAATTTCACTACAGGAAGTAAAAAAAAAAATCTCCTTAAGCTGATAATGTGTGTGTTTTAACTATCTATATAGAAAGTAATGAAAGACAAAACTGTAGTGAAAGCTAAACAACAAAAAATAAATGGAAGGTGGAATCCATTCTCATAGAATGAGGATTCACATTAAAGAACAGTAGTGTAGCAACTGAAAAGAGAAAGTCACATGAACAATGCAAGATCCGGTACTGTGAAAATCTGAAATCAAAGTACAAATACAATGCATAAATCTTACATGCTCCTCAGTGCTGGAGTCCAAACTGACTCAGAGTGGTCCTTTTCCCTACACTCATATGACAGAACCCAGTTCATTCCTATAGATTCCATTAAAATATCAAATTAAAAATACGTATTTAAATATGACTTTCACTCGGACAAATTGCTACAACTCAGGACTGTTATCTGGGACTGTTAATAGAATGGGAAGAGATGTTCATCTTTTTCATGTGGAGCCCTTGGTAGATTTGAACTAGCAGAGGTGGACAGCTTTTGGGTTAGCAAAGCAGTTCCCTAGAGTGCATGCCACCAGAGCACCCTATAATGACTGCAGTTAAACTTCTTGTACTTATAGGAAATATGGACAGTTTTTCTTAATCTTTTTTAAACCTTCCACGTCAAAACTTCATGGAAGAAAATGAGCAGATTTAACATGCAGTGCAGAGAGGCCAAGGCCTTTATGAAGAATGCAACGACAGATTGCCTTAAATACATTGTTGCTGCGTACCACAGTCAGAATCAACCCATAGCTGGCCCTTCAGCCGCCTTTCAGAGGCAGTAAATTGCATGGGAAGAGACTCTCCATCCTTCTCCTGTAGAGGAGCTGATAGATTCGAACCATGTGCCTTCAGAATGCCAGTGCAATTCCTTACTACCATTTGTTGTTGTTATGTGCCATCGAGTCGCTTGCAACTCATAGCGACCCTATGTACAAGGGCTCTATACACTCTTCTATCCTTTGCCAACCTAGCCATCTCAAATACACTTATTCCCACCTTTCTAGTCACAGAATCGATCCATCTCATCAAAGGTCTTCCTCTCCTTTGCTGCCCCTCCACTCTGTCAAACATGATGTCCCTCTCCAAGGACCAGTCCCTCCTTGCAACATGCCCAAAATATGTCAGACGAAACTTCAGAATCCTTGACTCCAAGGAATATTCTGGCTTCACCCTCTCCAGGACAAACCTGTTTGTTCTCCTAGCAGTCCATGGTATATTCAACACTCTTCTCCCATAGCTTCCTTAAATACAATGCAGAATACCAATAATTAGAATAGGATGCTGGGTGGTCAGTGGAAATCAGGGAACTCCCTCCTATATAACAACCTTAACTCACTGCTCATGAACCAAACCCAAAACTAAGACAAACAAAAAACTAATGTGCCTTTCATTTCAATGAAAAATTACAAACAAAATGTTAACTACGCAACTGTTACTCATTTCTACCTTTTTCACATTTGATTTGCCTTGATAATTAATAGTAGTGGTAATACAGACGGCAATAATGATTGCTAATATTCACTGAGTAATCTAGGTATGTGCTAGATGATTTCTAAGGCATCTCCCAGAAGCCCGTGACATTAACAAATTGTAAAATAGCTACTTATTCAGGACAAGCTATTTTTCAGGAAATGGGAGAAAAAGTTGTTCCTGGAATGAGAAGGAAAGAGGAAACTCTTCCAGTAAACAGTGATTAAAACTGAGAATGGTGAGTTAATTCCAGGGATGTGTACCTTTCCTTACCTGCATGGTTGTAGCTCGAGTGATGGAGTCAGTTTCTAATGAGAGATCCTTGGTACATATTTGTAAATCATCAAAAACACATAGTAGAAAAAGACTAAACATTATCAATACATTCTGCAAACTAAATACTACTGTTATAAAGAATTTTAAAATACTCAAAAAAGGGTTAGGTTAGCCCTGTTTGCTATGCAGGAGAATTATGTTTGGGTGTTGCTTTTGTTGTTATGTGCTATTGAGTCGCTTATGACTCATAGCAACCCTATGTACAAGAGCCCTAAATGCCGTTCTATCCTGTGCCAACCTTGCCATCTCAAACACACTCATTCCCACCACTCCAGTCACAGAAACGATCCATCTCATCGAAGGTCTTCCTCTCCTTCGCAGCCCCTCCACTCTGCCAAACATGATATCCCTCTCCAAGGACCAGTCCCTCCTTGCAACATTGCCCAAGTATGTCAGACGAAGCTTCAGAATCCTTGACTCCAAGGAGCATTCCAGCTTCACCTTCTCTAGGACAAACCTGTTTGTTCTCCTAGCAGTCCATTGTATATTCAACACTCTCCTCTGGCACCACAGCTCAAAAGCATCATTTCTCTTTCTGTCATTCCCTATTCACAATCCAACTTTCCAATGCATAGCACATAATTACGAAGACTATAGCCTGGATCAGATGCACCTTAGTCTCCAGCCTGACGTCGTTGCTCTTCAGTACTCTTGAGAGGTCCCTCACAACTGACTTACCCAATGCAATTCGTCTCCTGATTTCCTGGCTGCTGTTACCAAGAGTGTTGACTGTGGAACCAAGTAAACTAAAACTGTTAACTATCTCAATTTCTTTACCATCCATACTGATGCTGCCAATTGGCCCAGTGGTGAGAATCCTTGTTTTCTTGATGTTGACCTTCAATCCATATTGGAGGCTGCAGACCTTAGCCTTCTGCAGTAAGCGCTTCAGGTCCTCCTCAGTTTCAGCAAGCAGGGTTGTGTCATCCACATAACACAGGTTGTTGATGACTCTTCCACCAATCTTGATGCCACATTCCTCCTCGTACAGCCCAGCATCTCAGATGATCTGTTCTGCATACAAATTGAAAAGGTATGGGGAGACAAAATACATCTCTGACGGACCCCTTTCTTGATTTTGAACCATATAGTGTCTCCTTGCTCTGTTCTGATGACTGCCTCTTGGTCCAAGTATAGGTTTAGCATTAGCACAATCAAATGTTCTGGGATTCTCATTCTTCTCAGAGTCAGCCAGCCATAGCTTGTTGTGATCTACACAGTCAAAAGCCTTTGCATAGTCAATGAAGCACAAATAGACATTTTTCTGCTATTCTCTGCTTTCTGCCAAGATCCATTTAACATTAGCTATAATATCCCTAGTACCATGACCTCTTCTAAATCCAGCCTACACATCTGTTTCTGTTGACATATTGTTACACATGTTTTTGGATAATTTTCAGCAGAATCTTGCTTGCATGTGATATTAATGATATTGTTTGATAATTTCCGCACTCTGTTGAGTCACTTTTCTTTGGATTGGGAACAAATATCGTTCTTTTCCAGTCAGTTGGCCAGCTGGCTGTCCTCCAAATTTCTTGGCACAACTTAGCACATCCAGGGTACCATCTGTTTGTTGAAATATATCAATTGGTATGTTGTCAACTCCTGGGACCTTGTTTTTTGCCAATTTCTTCAGAGCAACTTGAACTTCCTCCATCACCATAGGTTCTTGCTCATATGTTATTTCATGAAATTCATCTGTGTCATCCAATTCCTTCTGATTCAGTGACTCTGTGTACTCCTTCCATCTTCTCTTGATACTTCCTAGATCATTTAACACTCCACCCAAAGTAGCCTTAAGTATTGCAATCCGTGGCTTGAATTTGTTTTTCAACTCCTTCAGCTTAAGAAATGCTGAGTGAGTTCAGTCCTTTTGATTTTCTGACTCCACATTTCATTACAGTATCTTGCTCTGTGGTCCTGAGGTGCCTTTTGAAATTTTCTGTTCAGATCTTTGATTTCTTAGTTTCTTCCTTTAGCTTTGGCTTCTCGGCACTCTAATGCAATAATAGGAGTCTCATCTGACATCCATCTTGGTCTTGTCTTCTTTTTCAGCCTTTGTAATGATCTTTTGCATTACTCATAGGATGATTTTCTTGATAACCTCCCAGAGCTCTTTTAGTCTACACTTATTGGTACTCAAGGCCTCAAAACTGTTCCTGAGATGGTTTTCAAATTCAAGTGGGACAGACTTAAGGTCAAATTTTGTTTCCCATGTACTTAATTTAATTTTCCTCAACTTCAGCTTGAGCTTGCATATGAGTAATTGGTGGTCTGTTCCACAATCAGCACCTGGCCTGGTTTTTACTGCTGATATTGAGCTTTTCCACCGAGTTGTTCCACAAATCAAATCTATTTGATTCCTATGCATACCACCAGGTGAAATCCATGTGTATAGCCTGTGTTTATGTTTCATATAAAAGGTATTTGCAATGAATAAATCATTGAATGTGCAGAACTCTATCATTGTATCTGCAGCCTCATTTCTCTCACCAAGCCCATGTTTTCCAGCTACTGGTCCTTTTTCCCTGTTCCCA